TTAGAAGTGTAAATACTTGGTTTTAATAATTTGAATATGGAATTGTAGTTAAAGGAAATTGTGACAGATAGATAAAAGGTTTTATCAAAGCCATATGCTTATCGAGAATATGTAGAAAAGGGCTGTCCAGATCAGATGCGTTCGCGGGTTCATAGTTGTTATCGCAAATAAATTAACATGGTTATAATGTTAAATTTAGTTTTATTAATTTATCTATTTAAAATCATTTAGTTGGTATACCATAAAAATAAAACTATATGATTTTACCAGTATACCAAGAGAAAATTCGAGTAATTGTAGTAAATTAGAAACATGTCGCTGGCTGCACAAACATAAGCCGCGACCCATGCTTCTGGACAACCCTGCTGTAGAACATTATTGAAAATGACGATAATTACAACATATAGATTAAATTATTAATGTCTTTGTCAATTTCGACTTATATAAATTGAAAAATATTGAATATAACTTAAGTATCAAAGTTAAAGAAAATTTAACTAAAATACACTGAAACAAATTTGCATTCAAATGTAACTAATAGTTAACAGCATTATTTTAAATATTTTTTTAAAAATAGTTTTCATTAAATATTTAAAAAAGAAACTGCATTTTTTATTATTTATTACTTTTTTAAAATAATTTTTTAGCAAAATAATTTCACTTATAAACTTGAGCACAACAAGTAATTTCAATATTTGCCCTTGGTTAACAAGTTTATATCTGTTGGATTGGTTTTGCTAGTGTCTTTTTTATTTTTGATGGGTTCGCCTTCAGTTATAATATCACTACTTAACTTAACTGGGTGCACAAAAAATTATTTACTCAAAAACTGGTTACCATACCAATTGCAATAAATTGGATAAAAATTTCGTAAAACCCATGGAGAAGCAAAAACTGCAAAGATTCCAAACCGTAGCCGATGTCCGCAGTTCGCGGCTTTTGGTTGGTGTTATTTTTTTGTTTATTACAGTGGGAAGCACTTAAATTAAAGACAGCATCGCGTCTGCATTTTTTATTTAATCGACAAAAGCAAAAACAATAACAACACGAAAAAGATGCAATATTACAGAAGTTACAACAAAAACAAACAAACAAACAATATAACTAGATTTTTGGAATGTTTATTTGCAAATACTCGTATGAGTTGCATATGTTGCGGTTGGACTTGTTGTTTAAATCATTTTTCTACTTGTTATATTTTTTATTTTTTATTTTTATTTTTATTTTCATTTATTTTTTATTTTCATATATTTTTTATTGGAAATAGCCGCCGCCATTAATAAATAAATGTGTGGGATACAAACTATAAGCGGAAATATTTTGTATTTTTTATTTATGGTTGACTTTAATGCAGTGTGGCTTTTAGAGGTTAGCTACTCATATTTTAACTTGGTACTATCATTTAGGAATTTGAAATCAAATACTTCAAATATGCTCATTAGTAGACTTGAAAATATATTTTAAAAAGTATTTTTTTCCTTTTATTTATTTATTTTTTTTTTGTTATATTTTGAATTTAAGTATAACTAATGACTATCAATTAATTTAATGGTTTAAGAATTAAAAGCACATTAAACTGAACCAAAACAAATTAAAGTAATGATATTAAAAATGTAATGCAATACTAGTTTAACTAAGTAGTTGATAAATTCGTATTAAAATACTACAACATTGATCAGGTAAGATATAGAAATAATGGTGTAAATCTTTGCAGTACGGGTATATGTAATGCCACGACAGTACTGTAGGTAATACGATTACAGTGGAGGATAATAAAATCATGTTCTACTATAAATTTAAATCTGACATTATTACGAGGATAGACAATGCAGTGATTACTCTGCATTTCTTAATTTACATTATATTGTTCGTCTAACAATACGTTCATTCTAATAAAAACATTTAGAAGAACTATCTCAATAAATATTCTTACTGCACACATTGCATATATTGAGCTCATATAATCATAACTGTTAAGTATATTGTAAATATAAATTGGTTTCTTGAGATATTAGCGCAGATTGAATGTTCCATCAGACAACTCACCAGCAAACTTTGCCCTGTCTTACTACAAAGATGCAGGAAGTCAAAAGCACTTTATAATGACAAGGATGAAAAAGCGCTTTAGGCGGGTGATTATCTGGAGTGACGTAGCAGTAGTGAATATTTAAATTTTTAACCAATAATTACCTGGAAACTTAAAACTAGTTAACTTAGTGGATCAAGTAATAAGGTACTACTCTGCAGAATTGTATAGCTGATACAGTTCTTGTTAGATTATCTGAGGATTCATTTTCATTGATTTCAGCACTCATAGATGTGCTTAGCAAAGCTTCACTGAGTTTTTGTTTGTTAGTAGCTGCAATATAAGTTAGCAAAACTATAGGCAAAATTCATAGGTCAATTCTAATCTGAACAATATGCTGCGTGGTTATCTGTGCTGATTTTTAAGTATATACCATTTAACTTCTTAGGGGTTTAAGGCCGACAATGACTTGTTTATTAAATGATTATCAATACTTAAGCAGGCTTTTAACACTTTGGAGAATGTGAAGCGAGAGTATATCTTAATGGTGTGTATATTTATGCTAGAAATAAATTACGGGATAACCCAGCGTAATTCTGGTCCTCAATGACTTCGGTACCAGCGTTTTGATAATTTTTAAAAGCTTCAATCTGTCATGCGTAAGTTTCTTTTTTCAAATAATAAATGTTTTTAGTTTTGTATCCATTTATATATTACAGGATAGCTTTACAATCCAAACAGTGAGTAACATTCTAAAAGTAATAACTAACTAACTAATATATAAATAATAATTAAATGTATTCTTTGTGTAGAACTTTCTGATATAACTGGAAAATGTACATATACATACACAGAATTTATAAATCAAATTAGAATAGATTTTTGAACTTTTTATTCTTTCGAGAATCTAAATAACAAATCAGAAATTCTTATAATCCTTAATATTATAGTTAATGTAGTATGGTATTTTACTGTGTATCTTAAATACATTTCAGCGCTTAGTCTTCGGTCTTTGCTTTTATAAAATGCGAGACAATTAGAATTTTTCTAATTATTTTATCTACCATTGGTGCTATATATACTACCTATTACGTTTACCGCATTCTACCTTCAAGTTAACTGGCCCATTCTACCTCCATCATATTTTTGTCACCATATTCTTTTGGGGAAAGCGGTATGAATTTTTTGTAATAATTACAATAAAGGGACAGAGATATTTTATTTTGATTAGCTTTAAATCGGAGTCAATTCCATGCCGGAAACTCATATAATCTGCAAAAATATGGTAGAATGACATTGCAAACAATTCAATTTTTTTTTACTTGGTGTTATTTTCTTAATTATGATTTTTTTTATTTCAAATAAATATATCTGGACTAAGTTGAGCACTGATTGCTTGTGTAAATGAAGTGAAAGGATACCTCTTAATTGATTCTTTTAAACTATTTACTATTGAAACAAAAATATGTATTAATTTACTTTGTCTAACTTAATCAAAGTCTAACTAAACTTTATTAGCAAACTCTGTTGAGGATGTCTTTTTATACATAGTTATTGTTTCTTTTTGCTGAAAACTTATAATAATTATTTTTGGGACTGACTGTAATATGTTGATATATATCAGTACATATCAACGTTCTGTCCAGTAATTGATAAGAAATTAACCTTCTTAGAGCGGACAAAGAGAATAAAAAAGCAGAACGAATATTTTCGGTTCAGGTCGGTATAGGTTTGTAATATATTATAATATGGAGTAAACCCCTTGAAACTGAAAAATAATGGGGTCTCAAGGGTGGAGTGTGTGCATGCGTATAATTTTATATCAACAAATAAGGGATTTCCAAGGTTATATATATTAATAATTGTATATCTTTGTTTGTAATTACGGCAACTTTTGCTTTTTATTGGTTATGTATAAATACAACAGTAAAAATTTAAGAAGTCTTCTTTAAAGTAATATAAAAAATATAAATATAAAAAATAGTGTTTTTCTAATAAATTTACGATCATAAACGATTATTATATTGATGGTTTCTACGTTTACTTCAGCTAATTCAATTGGGTAAACTTTTTATAGTTTATTTATTTTTAACTAATAAATTAATTAATATTAAATAACGCAGTTTATAATAAATAAACATATCTTTATTTAAGATATCTGTACTATAATATCACCCATTATAACGCAATAAATAATAAATAAACATTAAAGTTATTTTTAATTTTGGTATTGTTAAGAACATCAATTATTTTTCATAAAAACCAATTGATTATTTATTAAATCTGTCATTAATTTTGTTTATTTGTTGGCACGTTGAGATGCTGAATTGGATATATTAATAGCATATTTTTATTAATAAATGTGCTCATCTTGATATAACTGCTTAGTGGCTTCATTATTTTCTCATTGGCAAAGCTTAAATATCTTGAAAAACACAACTTGTTGAAAACCAGTCGCATTACATCAATAATTTTATCTACACAATGAAAAAGGTAACCAAAGTCAATCGAGATTCGAAATCGCATAGCCAGAACAGGAAGAAAAAGCATACAAACTGAAATCCAAACTTAACAGAACCAACAACAGACAGACCAACAGAAAAATCTAACTGACAATTTGCCGCTAGTATAAAGCGAAATATATTGTATCTTTTTTTTGCTATTTGTAACGCGAACTTCAAGACTGGTTTTGCGTACATTGAAGTAGAATTTGTTTTCTATTTTATACTGAGATTCTTTTGTTTTTTTTTTGTTTTTGTGTTTTAAGAATATAAGTAGCTAATACTTATTGGTTATACCAACAGAAAAATATGAAAAGAAAATATTCTGTTAATAAACTGTTAATCAAATAAATAAATATTTTTGGCATGAGCGAAGTTTGGCTAATGACTTTAACTTTGATTAATAATATTACATAAAGCATAGATGGACATTAATCAATATTTATTGAATGAAATATTTAAATTTTGCTTACCTTTGCAATAAATTAACGCTTGTCGGTTAGTAAAATTTCAATAATTTTTATGTTAGAAGCTGAAAAAAAGGCAACCGGTTTAATAAAATAATTAAGTTTTTATATCCGTTTAATGAGTAACTATTTTTTCAATTTCAAAATTTCAAAATATTTCTAATGAAACTGGAACTAAAAGTTTATTAAAAGAAAAAATATTTTTTTGATGACATTTGGAAAAAAAAAATATTATTTTAGAGAAAAACCGTTAAAAACACTTTTTTGTATCATTTCTACTACAATAAATAATTACAGCAGCTTTAAGAGCATTAAAAATTTTTATCTAGAACACTTTTGTTTGTTTTTATTAGAATTTTCTATTTTCTTTTGTAATTACATAGACATTTTTTTTTGTTATTCTAAGTAGAATGCTTAATTTTATTTCTCACAAAATCACGCAAGTTATTAAATTTTCTATTTTAATTTTTTTTCTTGTATTTTTTCAGAATTAAGCCAGTCGAAGAAGTAAAAACTGCGCTTGAGTCTTTGTAATTGCACGAAAGCCACGAAAGTTAACAAAAATGCAGACAAACAAGTAAACTTTGAGTTTCCCTTGTGCGGCGGCAACACATTATTACACAGATTTCGTCGTACCAATGCACTTACATCTTAGCACAGGCTTCGTCAGAGGTTCAATCTTAGAAGCTATTAAATGGAAAACCGCAAGAAAATCAAACAAATAAAAAACCGTCTCGCAACCGCAGAACAAACGGACTACGTTCTGCACAGCACAAAAGTCACTCGCGAACTAAAATCATAACTGCGAGCGATGCGTTTGTAGAGCCAAGCGGGCTTTGCTCGCTGAGTAACATTTGACCAACTAAGTAAGTTGCTCTATGGCTTATCGGTTAGATGTGGTTTTAACTACTCGGTGGTTTGTGCGGTGTGTATTTCGCCCATAGACTGACAGGTGGCAAAGAGCTTAAAATACTAAAATCGGTAATAACGACTGTGGAGAAAAGTGTTTGCAAACATATTATAATTATATTATTATTATATTATATGTGTTAAAGCTTCTTAGAAAATATATGTTCTTATGTGCGAACATAAAAATTAAGTATGGCTTTGGGTCAGTTGGTTAAGGTGCGCTGACTCTGAGGACACGAGTTCGATTCCTGGTATTTACAGGCTGAGAAAATTATTTACGAATATTTAAATACAAGAATTATTTCCAAGACCACTGATAATGAGTATTTGGCAATACTCTTTCAAGTCAAAGTTCTTATTATCAATAAAATAAACAGTTTGATTTTAAAAATAAACCTATTAAATCAGCTGGTTTTTATTATCTTATAGTCTTAGAGTTTAAAGGAGAACTCTCACTGTTTTTCCTTAAACCATAATCAAAGGTTCTTAGATAACGTGAAACACAATTAAGTTCAAAAAATGAAAGGAGCACAATTTCATTAGTTTCGATTGCATTGCATAGGGAACTCGTAATTTAATTATCCAGGCATTAAATAGAGCCATCATTGGTATTGAAATCGCTGCTCATCTAATTAAAAGGTATTCAAAAATAAATTCAAAATTTTATTTAAAAATGATCAATTTATTATTAAAATTATTGTTGTGAAATAGCAAAAGACGCGGTACTGCGGCCAGAAAAGTCCTCTTGTATCAATTTCACTACTGATTACACAAAGCCACTTAAAGTTTTGTGAACAGAGTTCAGCACTAAATCTAGAGAAGAGCTCTTAACTTATTCTGGTGACAGAAATTCGATATGAAATAAGATTCTGTGCGTTATTAAAGCTGGACAGACACAAAAAATATGCATAGTACTTTGAAGCATAGTCTACTTTCCGAATTAGCAGATAATCGTAGTTTATGAAGGTATCAATAGTATAAGTGAATGACAATGATGTATAAAAAATGTAAATCAAAATGATTGAAATATATTTTATTCATAACAGAGATTCTCTTGAGTAAAACCAAGATCATGGCAAAGTAGGCACGATACAAAGCAAAACGTATCTATGCTAATAAATTCGGCATCCCATTTTCCCAGATCTCCAAAATTTGCAAGCAAGCAGATGAAACATAAATTATTAAGCACTTGAAGTGCAAAACCTTAGTTCTAGCTAGAATAAGTCAGTGGTAGATATCCCAAATAGAATTTTAAGAAAATAATTTTCGTTATCAAGTTTTTCTTAAATTTTTTATTTAGATGTGTAGTGCCAATGAACTACACATCAATTTGCATCTGATATTAAGTATTATCTTTCTGTTTACTGGTTCATATATGACGAAAAGAACTATGTATGTTATATGTATTTGAGTTATATATTTCAAAGAAGGTTTATGATTTTAATATGACTTATTTATATATTATTTATCAAAATAGTTTGTCAATTGCTGACGAGAATCTGGAAAGTGATTAATGGCAGTTTGTATGATAGATGACAATGAGGTAGTGCTAGAAGGATTAATATCAAAAAATTCGGAATCTAGAAGCTGGTGGATATTTTTACTTAGGTTTGCAGTTATAGTTGGTGAAAAGAGTTTTTGCAGGAAGCCAAAACCGAACACCGGTTTAAGCATTGATATAGAAAAGAATTAAAAATAAGGTAAGGAATCTTCAAGTAAATATGTATTTGTAATATTCAATAAATTTAATATTTATACTTGCTAAAGAAAAAAAGTTTTAATATTTGTATTAAGACTGCTCTAATTTTTTTCATAACTTAAAAGATCCGAAGTTTAATAATTAATCTCTGCTCATAAAATGCCTACACAAAATATTAGCTACGGTTTAGAACAACTCCAACTAGTTTCTCTCAGTCCAGTGGAATTCTAACTTCAGTACTAAAAAAAAGAAACTCTTCAACTTAGTACTAAAAATCAGTATTTAAATAGTTGTGTGACGTATAGTCGTTATAGAATCATGAATGAGTTGCTGCATTCAAGTTAAGTATGAAGAAAGTATGAAGTTATGCATTGCAAGTTTGTTACTTAAGTCTTTTGTTTTTCTCACTCTCAAGTATCTTATATTGCTGTGTCAGTTGCATTTTGCAACTTTATGTGATAATTTTTTTCTTTCTTTCTGTATATTTTTATTTAGTTTATTTTTATTTTAATGTTATTGCCATTGTCATTGTTGTAAATGTTGTCATTGTTATTGTGTTGGCGTCTGCATTCAAGTTTTTTTAATTGATTTATTGCGTGAATTGCACATTTTTATTGTTATGATTGTGATTGGTTTGATTTTCAGTATTTATCACCGGCTTTTTTGCTTGTAAGCTGGTTAGTGGTTTATTATCTTGTTAATAGTATTAATTTCGCTATTTGAATATTAATTAATTTTAGCAAAAGTACAAAAATTGTATCCTGTTTTTGTTATCACATTGGCAAAGTCTCTAATGAAGTTCAAGAATGTTTTTACTGCTTAAATTCCAATGTACTTTATGTTAGTTTTATAGATTTCCATAAAAAGATATGATTCCTTGAATACTTATAAAAAAATACAGAATCAATGTCTAACAAGCAAGTTTAAGTTTGTTTCAGTAAGTATTTTAAGTTCAATATTACATTGATTACACTTAAATGGAAATTCTAAGAAAATCAAATAATATTATTAATATTAATATTTTTAAATAAATAAAATGCTAAATATAAGAATAGGTGAAGCTACAATCAAAGATAAAGAAATCAAAATACTTTTAAATTCAACTGAGATCAATGAACTTACGGTTGTCTAATGTTATCTTTGAGTGTAGAAATGCTAAAAAACAAATTTATATAAGTTAAAGCTTTTCAAGCCGTCAAGGATTGCGAAAATAAGTATAAATGACTATATTTTTAAATAAAGTAACTCATGCAAAGCAATTTATTAGTGGCTTACTTACTTACTGTCTTGTTCTTTTTAATTGTGTATTATCCTGGTTGCGTCAAGTAGCGTTCATCAATCAGTCCAATGAGCCCTGTCTATTGTTAGTTGATAGCAACAAGTTGTCTCAAATGTTTGCCACCTCTTTTTTCTTCTGAAGATGGAAATGGGCTCTGTCATATTTTTCACTGGCACATACAGAATAATCTTATAACGGGTGTATTTTCAACCATTGCACAATACGACCAAGCAACCTTACTTATCCCACTGATGAGATAATGGTTATATTATGTAACCATATGACTTGATACTCGTTATCATTGCGTACAGAATCATAGATATTTTAAAAATCTTCCTTTCATGCTATTGATTAAAAATGCGTATAGACCACTAATTTATAGGGAAATTATGAAAACTAGTATTAGATTTTTATGTATACATTTAGTTGAAGGTTAATCAATATAACTGGTGTAAAGTGGTGCCAAATATTTTAGAGAGTGTTTGACGGGCTGACTTTGCTGTATCAAGCAGGTATCTAACAAAATATCCTTATACCCGATATATTTACATACATTGCACAATATGATCAATCCAGCTTAACCATTACATTACTGAAATTCAGGTTATAGACCTCATTAATTCATATAATATAATATTCGTTATCATTGTGTACAGAACCACAGATGTTTTGAAGAACGTCCTCCCATCAGTATTGATTACAGAGACGTATATAGATCCTTACTATGGCAAAAATTGATTACATCTTATGCAAATTGATTTGATATATTTTAGAGAGCGTTTGAATCGCAAGACTCACATTGGATACCCCATTGATTGGTTATTGTCTAAGCTGCCACTGCACAAAACAGGACAGACATGATGAAAGACTTATAGAAAAGCTACATTACTTAATCTCTTACTAAGTTCGAAATGGCATCTAGTAATAAGAGTGATTCTTTAAAGAATTATCCGGTTGATTTCATTTTTTTAGAAAGGCTTTATTTTATTGGCATCTCTGGATAGGATATGTACTCGTAAAACGAAGACCGTAATATGCTGATATTAAGTAGGCATATTAAATTTTTTTGGAAAGGAAAAGAAATATAAGTTTTATAGCATGAAAGGAATGAAGAAATGAATAATTGGTATGGAAATTGCTAGTTTTTTGAATACTTTTTAGTTAATGCTCAGTAATGAATTTGCAAACCATTAATTTACAAGTCATTAATTATTTACTTATATTTTTAAATAATTTGAGTAATTTATATCTATTTACTAATTCCTTTTTATGGCATAATAATTTTAATAAGTTTATTTGTTAATAATTACTTCTTACAGATTTTGTAGTGTACTTATCTTAAACGGCTCTGTATTTAACAAGTTATTAAGTACAGTAATTTTAGTTATTAATTTATTTCATATTAATTTTAGTTAGTTTATATGAAAGATACCATATACTATCACTAATAACAAAACTTGGTACGAGTAGTAATACACCAATGAATTTGTTAATAAAATATTTCATAAAAGTCTTTGTATTAGAGCTAGAAAAGTGTTGAAAAAAATGCATTTAACTTGTTTGCCTTGAATTTCAATGTTTAACCATTTCTTGTAATTTGAATATTTGCATTTAAATTGATTGATATCACGTTTATTAATATTGAATTTTAATGCTGTGCCATGCAATAAAGAAGAAATGCTTTGTTTGCAGACCCGCTGGAGTGAAGTAAACGTCAAATGCAATGCAACTGAAACTCGCTATGCAAATGTGACTTTCATGGTAAATAGTTGCACAATTTGTCATAGTCAGTATTTGGCGCAATCAATGTTTATTTTTGATGCTATACTAGGTAGTAAAGATAGACTGGATATTTTACCGTAAACTATTTAATATTTAATAGTAAG